TCTCGTTAAGAGAAGAGAGGGAGCTAGGGATTGAAAACGAATTTGAAGAAATGACTGAAAACTTCCCTAACCTGGTGAAGAACACAGGCATGCAAGTCCAAGACGTGCGGAGAGGCCTAAACAAGATGAACCCAAAGAGGCCCACACCAAGACACATCATAATTAAAATGCAAATGATCAAAGACAAGAAGGAAATCTTAAAAACAGCAAGAGAGAAAGCACATGGTAACCACAAACCAAAAATCTATAAGAAATAAAGAGAAAGGAATACAAACAGAACACTATAGAAAGTCATCAATATACAAGAGAAGAGAGCAAGAGAATAAGAAAGGGACAGAAAAATACAAAAACAATCAGAAAACAATGAATAAAATGGCAATAAATATGTAGCTATCAATAATTACTTTAAGTGTAAATGGATTCAGTGCTCCAGTTAAAAGATGACTGGGTAAAGGAAAAGTGGTACTTACATATATACAATAGAATATTACTTGGCCATAAAAAAGAATGAAGTCTTGTCATTTGTGACAACATGGATGGACCTAGAGGGTATTATGCTAAGTGAAACAAGTTAGACAGAGAAAGACAAATACCATATGATTTCACTTATATGTGAATCTAAAAAACAAAATAAATGAACAAGCAAGACAGAAGCAATCTCATAGAGNTGTTTGCTGTTCTTTGCTAGTTCCTTTAAGTGTAAGGTTAGATTGTTTATTTGAGATTTTTCTTGTTTCTTGAGGCCTGTATTGCTATGAATTTCTCTCTTAGGACTGCTTTCACTGTGTCCCATAGATTTTGGGTCATTGTGTTTTTATTTTCATTTGTCTCAAGGTACCTTTGGATTTCATCCTTGATTTTTTTGGTTGACCCATTCATTATTTAGTAGCATATTATTTAGCCTCCATGTGTTTGTGTGCTTTTCAATTCTTTTCTTATAATTGATTTCTAGTTTCATAGCACTGTGGTCAGACAAGACACTTGATGTGATTTCAATCTTCTTAAATTTATTGCTACTTATTTTGTGGCCTAACATGTGGTCTTTCCTGGAAAACATTCCATGTGCACTTGAAAAGAATGTAAATTCTGCTGCTTTGGAATGAAATGTTCTAAATATATCATTTAAATCCATCTGCTTTAATGTGTTATTTAAGGTCGCTGTTTGCTTGTTGGTTTTCAATCTAGATCAGCGGTTCTCAACCTTCCTAATGCCGTGACCCCTTAATACAGCTCCTCATGTTGTGGTGACCCCAAACCATAAAATTATTTTTGTTGCTACTCTATAACTGTAATTGTGCTACTGTTATGAATCGTAATGTAAATATCTTTTTGTTTTCCAATGGTCTTTGGCGACCCCTGTGAAAGGGTCATTTGACCCCCAAAGGGGTTGTGACCCACAGGTTGAGAACTGCTGATCTAGATGATCTATCTATTGATTTCAATGGCGTGTTTAAATCACCTACTATTACTATGACTGTCTCCTATTATATCTGTCAATATTTGCTTTCTATACTTAGGTGTTCCTACATTGGATGCATAAATGTTCACAAGGGCTATATTTTTTTGTTGAATAGATCCCTTTATCATTAGTAAATGTCCTTCTTTGTGTTTTCTTATAGAATTTGTTTTAAAGTCTATTGTGTCTGATATAACTACTGCTACCCCAGACTTCTTTTCTTTCCATTTGCATGAAATATGTTTTTTCATCCTTTTACTTTCACTCTACATGTGTCTTTTGATCTGAAGTGGGTCTCTTGTAGGCAGCATATGAATGTGTCCTGTTTTTTTATCCATTCAGCCACCCTATGTCTTCTGACTTCAGCATTTAATTAATTTACATGTAAAGTGATTATTAATAGGTGTGTAGTTATCCTCATTTTATTATTCATATTTTTTCTTCTTAAAGAATTATTTTTAATATTTCTTGTAATACTGGTATGGTGGTCACCAAATCCTTTAACTGTTTCTTGTCTGGAAAGCAGTTTATCTCTCCTTTGATTCTAAAAGATAGCTTTGCTGGGTAGAATAATCTTGGTTGTAGGTCCTTGCTTTTCATCACTTGAATATTTCATGCCAATCCCTTCTGGCCTGCAAAAAGAAATCAGCTGATGGTCTTATGGGAGCTCTCTTGTAGGTAACTGCATGCTTTTCTCTTGCTACTTTAAAGATTCTCTTTTTAATCTTTAACCTTTTGCATTTTAATTATGATGCAGCTTGGTGTGGGCCTCTTTGGGTTTATATTGTTGTGGACTCTGCTCTTTCTGGACTTATATGTCTGTTTTCTTCACCAGGATAGGGATTTTCAGTCATTATTTCTTCAAATAGGTTTTCAATTCCTGCTCTCTCTTTTCTCCTTCTGCTACTCTTATGATGAGAATATTGTTACACTTGATGTTGTCCCAAAGGTCCCTTAAACTATGCTCATTTTTTAAAATTATTTTTTCCTTTTTTGCTGTTCCAATTGGGTGTTTTCTGCTACATTGAGTTCCAGATTGCTGATTTAATTCTCTGTTTCATCTAAATCTGCTGTTGATTCCATCTAATGTATTCTTTATTTCTGGCTTTTTTTAAAATTTATTTTCCTATGGTTGCTATCTCTTTGTTGAAGTTCTCACTGAGTTCATCTACTCTTCTCCTATGTTCATTGAGCATCCTTATAACCAGTGTTATGAACTTTGTATCTGGTAGATTGCTTGTCTCCATTTTATTTAGTTGTTTTTCTGAAGTTTTGTCCTATTCTTTCATTTAGGACATGTTTCTTTGTCTCCCTATTTTGGCTACCTCCCTGTGTTTGTTTCTATGTGTTAGGTAGATCTGCTATGTCTCCCAGTCTTGTTAGAGTGGCCTTATGTAGCAGGTGTCCTGTGGGGCCCAGNCCCCGTGCCCATTACCAAGAGGCACTCTCCGAGGAGCTTAACAACAAACGATGCTGGGCTCAGGGCTTGGCCAGCAGAACTGGGCTGCATTTCAGCCCACGGCCCTGCTCTCGGCCTGGAGCTGAAAACGGTGTGGGCAGCTATGAGTTCAGGGAGCTGCAAAGCTTTTGCAGACTCTGCGCTGCATGGACTGTCCCAATAAAGAGAACATCTCATATTCTATGCCTTTAAAAAACTGATCGAACTTTATTATTAATATTAATAGAATCAGTGTAAAATTTAAAAAATATTCTGACTAAATTCATCAACAATGATCTCTTAATGCAAAATGAAACTGCAGATATTTTATTAATGTGAACAAAACTCTCTCCCAGCCAAGACAATTTCATCAGTTACTTTTCAGTATACCAATGACATGAATCTATTGCCACTGTCGCACCCAGGGTGCCACATCTCCAAGCATATGAAATTGCCCAAAAGCTTATCTTTCATAGGACAAAAATATGATTTAAGACAATCTTGTAATAGGCCAAAAATACAAAATAGTCACAAGAAGTAACTTCATGTAAAGGCGAAATATTTACTTATTTCTTTTTTTAATTTTTAGAAGGTTTTCACAAATTGAAATAAATAAAGAAGAATTAAAATTTTTTTGGTTTCATGTTCTAAGACAAAATAAGCTTCCCGTTGATTTCAGCAGTCTACTTTTCAGTTTATTCAATAGCAGCTAGGGAGACACCAACCAAAATAGTTTTCTTTAAATGTTAGAGCAAGGGTTTAATTCACATGATATTGTGGACTGTGTTACAATGAAGTGCCTATTATTTTTACTTATTATATTTTGAAAAGTGGGTGGGAGTGATAAAAAAACATTTTTTTTTTTAGCTTGGATTTTTCTTAGACATGTTGTTGTCAGATACTAAGTATACTTACTTGTTTTAAATCTGCATCATCTATCTGTGTAAACAAAACCTTTAAAATTAATATGCAGTTCCAAGCTACAGAAGCCACAGGCCTCTGTGTGTTGACAAAAGCTGATGTGACTGAATAGAGTCAGTCTGTGACCTTACCACAGTTTGTGTCTTAGCCCTGAGGCTGCACTTTGGGCCAATTAGACCCCTTGTTCCTATTGGAAAGAGCATCTTATGATGCTCTCGCTTAGCACCTGACCTTGAAATGCTGCCTGAGGAAATCCTTAACTACACGCTTTCATTGCCCCTCAGATGACTTTTCTAGTAGTAGGACTATTCATTACAGGATTGTTTTTCCATTAATGATTCTTGATTATTTTTCTTTTTAATGTCACCACATTGTTAAATTTGGTTCTGTTTGGGGGGACAAACATCTGTGTTCAAATGACTTTTCCTTACCTTCCATCCATGATATGACAGTATATTAGATAAGGCTTTTTAAATTCATCTTTTCTTAAGTGTATTACAGGAAAGTTATTTGCCACAGATACTCTTTAATATTTAGTTCCTCTAAAATGTACCCCAAGGACCTGCTATATGAGAATCACCTGATGTTAAAGTTAAAGATGCCGGAAGCATGTTCTCTACTGAGTCCAAACTTCTGCGCCTGTGGCCCAGGCATCCATACTGAGATGTTCCCCGTGTGACTCTGAGGCAAATTAAAGTTTGAGAACCACTACTGTAGTGGTTAGAATATTCTATTAAATTCATGGTCATTTTAAAGTATTTAAACATGGAGGCCATTACACTGACCTCGGGTGTTTAATGTCTTGGTAGCCTACATAACCTAAGCCAGACACAATTCACTGGACACCAAGCAAATGAAGCTTAAAAACAACTAATCAAAAACAGCTAACTTGACTCCCAGATAAGGCAACTGCATAAACTATAGCCAACCAATAATTTCTGGGCTTTGCTTCAGTGTCTACTCTATAAAAACCTTGCCCCTAGCCCTTGGTGGAGCAGTCCTAACCACCTTCGGTTTACTGCTGCTCTATTCGGATAGAGGTAGGATCAAAAAACTCTTAAAAAATTGAATATGCTTCAGTTTACCTTTTAACAATGTCTATAACCAATTATGTGAGTTTGATAACATTCCATTTCCCAGTGGCAACTGAGTACAACTTTAACTTGGATTTGCCTCCCTCTGTAGGCAATGTGGCTCATGTTGCAGAACGATCAGCCGGAGGATTTTGTCATCGCCACTGGGGAAGTCCATAGTGTCCGGGAATTTGTAGAGAAATCGTTTTTGCACATTGGAAAAACCATTGTGTAAGTATAACTGAAAGTTCATCTCTGCATTCATCAGACATTTGCTGGCAGGTTTGTATAGGTGCTTGCTGTTATGCCTCGGTTTGGTCTTTTTCCCTGTTTACTTTCTTGTAAAGCAGTATCCGCAGTTTCAATATGGAGCAGGGTGTTGGTATTTCACAGCATCCACCCGCAGTTATATTCCATGTGAGATGTCTGTTGGCATCTAAACATTCTTTTGAAAATTTCTATTATCTGTTTTATTTTTTAATATATCTAGTTTTTTAAAGGTTCTAAATTATTTTTAATTATAAATGTTTTATTATGGTTTATGTATGGTTTACTATAATGTTACTGTAGCTAATTCTACTCTTACCAAATCAATATAACATTACACAATCTTTTTTAATACTTTCACTTTTTATTTTAAACTTTTGAAACCATTAAAAAAGTACAGAAAAGGGGTTTTTTGTTT